GGTTTGGTGAGGGCCAAATTAATCCCTGTTGATAGGAGGGTGGTGGGAAAAGTCCTTAGAAGGGGGTCACATGACACCTTTTACTTCTGGTTATGTGCTCATCTTGCCCCCAGAGTGTTACCTCCAGAGATGTGGCCAATGGGAGTCAGGGGGTGTGGCCAATGGGAGTCGGGTGTGGTTAACAGGGGTCAGCGTGTGGCTAATGGGGATCAAAGTACATTTTTAAAAAAGCAGCAGGACATTCTCATCTCATCAGGGATGTTTAAAAGTGTTTACTCAGGCTCATCAGTTAACCGCTTGTACCGTTTACACTGCCACATCCCTAATTCTCAATGGCAAACCCTTGCCTTTTGTGACCTTTCAGGCCTCGTGCAAAATACATCTATGTAGTCTAGCAGGTTAGCTGGCAGTAGATTCTTTGTAGGTGGACAGGGTAGAGAACTCTCTACTTTTAGGGCTATTTTCTTTGGCCCTTTATATCTGCTTATGCATTTTTGGAGTGTTGGTATAATTTATTACAAGGCCATTATAAATGAAAATAGACTTTACTACATTATTTAGTTTACTCTTTGGTTGTTGTGCATTATGGTTGATTTCAGTATTGCAGAGTTTAACTCTTAAGTGTTATCACTTTTTGTTGAATGACACTTGAAAAGTTTCTGTATTAGCCTAATCACCCTATAGGACCACAGTGGTACAATTTATTTAGCTACACGAACTTGCCATCTAGGCAAATCTTTGTTAGTTTATATCTATAAAAAGGTTTTTGTCACTCTATAGCAGCAATGGACAACCTAGGCTAGTGAGTGGGCTAGTCTCCTTCATCTCAGTGGGCTGCAAGATTGTAGTAACCAAGAAAATGTAGTGTAGTAACTGTACTAGCATTCCTAGAATGTGTAGGGTGTGCCAATTAAAATATAGCAGCACTTTAATTCGGTGCTGAGGGAACACACAGCTCTCACAATCAATGTGTGAATCAGCATGTACCTCACTTCCCATGCCCTTGCTTTATGTGCATGTCATTTTAGTAATACCAGTAGGAGTAAAATTATGTGGATGGATACCAGCAGAATCTGGCAACCCTGCACATGGGCAACAGTCGACAAAATTTCCCACAGGCCATACATAAAGCCCAGAAGGGCTGCATACAGCATGTGGGCTGCAGATTGCCCACCACTGTTCTATAGGGTTAGTGCCTTTATATGGATGTTATTATTTTGAATGTGAGCACACCAATCCACCAGTGAATACCATCAGTGTGGTCAATATTGTACAAAATATAGAAGTTACCCGAGTCCTTATTCCTTGGATCCTTGCTTCTATCTTAATAAAGTTCAGACAGACATACAGGGCCTAATTATACATTGCATTATAGCCCCTTTATGCTGCTCCAGTGATAGAGTGGGAGCAAAATGTTAGTGGATACAGCCCCTGAGGAATACTTCTAGCAAATGTTTATATTGGTTTGAAAGTTCTGGCACTGCTATAGTCCTACTGTTTTTGGCTACCAAACAGCTCCTCAGTGTTATTGCTGGCAGGCACATTTAAGTTAGATCTCCCAAAGGCTGCTCTAATTTACACTGCTCTAGCTGAAGTCCTGCATACAATGTAGAACGTCATAATGGGTTTGAGTATAGCTATCTCAGATCCCTCTTTCAAAAAATTGTTCTCTGAGACAATGATAAGGCCACAGCAACCCCGGTTGGCAATCTGTTAGGTAACTCTTCAATAAAGTAGATAGCAAATAAATCTCAGAGGGGTAGCTGTGTTAGTCTGTATCTGCAAAAACAACGCAGAGTCCTGTGGCACCTTAAAGACTAAGGCTATGTCTACACTACAGAGTTTTTCCCAAAAAAGTTACTTTCATCCACACTGTAATCGTGTTATTTCGAAAAAAATGGAAAGAACAGAGAGGTTTTTCTGATTTTGGTAAACCTCCTTCTGTGAGGAAGAAACCTTTTTCTGAAAGAGCTCTTTCGGAAAAAGGCGTGTGTGGATAGGGAAGAAGGAGTTCTTTCAAAAGAAGAGGAAAGAGCACAGGTGCCCTGGTGGCCAATCCATCCATAGTAATCACAGCAGAAATATGAGATAGCGTCCACACTGAATGGATGCTATCTTTCGAAAAAGCAAACCGCTTTTTCGATGTGCTTTGGCATTGTGGATGCTCTCTTTCGGAAGTTTTTTTTGTAAGATCTTCCAGAAAACATACTCTCTTTCGGAAGAAGTTTTTTTCGGAAGATCTTCTAGAAAAGCTTCTTTCTAAAGAAGCCTGCAGTCTAGACATAGCCTAACATTTATTTGGGCATAAGTTTTCATGAGTAAAACCCCCTTCTGATTAATGCATCTTATGAAGTGGGTTTTACCCACAAAAGTGTATGGCTAAATAAATCTGTTAGGGTACGTCTACACTACAACGTTAATTCGAACTAACTTAGTTCGAATTAGCTAATTCGAACTAAGCTAATTCGAACTAACGGATCCAGACTAAAAAACTAGTTCGAATTAGCAATTTGCTAATTCGAACTAGCATGTCCACATTAAGTGGACCCTGAACCAGGCTTAAGGATGGCCGGAAGCAGTGCCGGCAGGGCATCAGAGGAGGACTTAGAGCGTGGAGATGCTGTCTCAGGCTAGCCCAGGGCTGCGCTTAAAGGGACCCGACCCCCACCCTGGACAGACAGTTCTCAGGGGT